CGCGGCCCACCCGAAACCTCCCCTCCCGGCCGCCGACACCGCACCCACCGCGCGCCTGGCCGCTGGAGGGACCCGCGTGGATGCACCGAGGCCGGGGCCGCGGCCGCTCTGCAGCCGCCTCGCTGTGGCGCCCGCTGCCTTCGCCCCCCAAAAAGCACCAACAGTCTCCGGCAGTGGAGCCCCGGCTCCCCGCGCCGCCCCCGCCCCGGGGCCGCAGCCTCCCCGCCCCCACGCCGCCCTCCAGGGGCGCAGAACAGCCGCGTCCTCCCGCAGCCCCGGTGAGCTGGCATCTGGCGGCCTCGGGCCCCCGACCTACCTCCCGGGGATGGGGTGGGGGTGCCGAGGTCCCGTCCTCCTCCCGCTCCTCGGCGGCCGGGCGGGTGGGCCGGGAGACGACTCCGCGGGGCTGTCCGCGGCTGGGGCCGGGGTTCACAGGACGGGACCGGTGGGCGCTGCTGCGCGGGGCTGCGAGCCGAGAGGCGGCCGAGGGAGGGACTGGAGGAATCCGCAGCCCGCACGGCGACAGCTGCACTGATTCCGGGGGCTGGGCGGGAGGAGGGAAGGACCGGGCAGCGGCGGGAGGGGCCGGGGCGGGGACACGGGGGGCCGCGCGGGCCAGGCGCGCGCACACAGGCACGAGCGTAGGCGCGCGCGCACGCCGCACACCCTCCGCCCTCCGCTGCCCGCTGCTCTCCAGTGCTCGCAGCCCCGCAGCGCCCCGCCCCGCGCCCGCCGGGCCCCAGCAGCCGAGCCCGGGGAATATGCAGGCTCCCCCAGACCCCGGCTCTCGGAGCGGCCCTGACCTCGCCGGCCGCCGCTGGGTGGGCCTGCCCGGGGTGCGCACCCCCGCCGCTGCCCGAGCCTGGGGGGGACGGACAATGGGGACTTTGTCCCCGCAGTAGGCGAGGGCCAATTTCACGTTTAATTTGAGGCTAATTCGATTATCGCCAGGGAAAGGGGCAGCCTAATTTTCTTCGTGATTTGTGCAGCCTCTTTCTGCCCTCGGTTGCGTGCATTTGGAACGCAATGCGATGGAGAGGGTGTGCACTCCGGGAGATTTTAGGGCGTCATCCGGTTGGTTGGTTGGTTGGTTTTAGATCGGAGAGGTGATGCTAGGAGGTTCCGCCCAGCCAGGAGAAGCGTGATGGCGACCTCGCGGTGGGAATCCTCAGGCAGAGGTGGGGGTGCTGTTTCTCCAGGAGTTCTAGTTCTTGGGTACCAGACAACTGACCCTACATTCCGCTCCTGCCCCGTGCCCAAAGGCAGGTACAGCTCTAATCCAATACCCTCCTCGGCTCTGTCCTCCTGGCTGCAGAAGTTCCCGGGGTGACTTGGGGGTTTGAGTTTGTCCCCTGTTCCTATTTCCTGAAGGGGAGCTCTGGTGGCCTAGTGGTACTGATTGCACTGTCATTCCAAAGTCCCACAGCTGCTCCAGGAGAGAAGGATGGGCAGTCTCTTCCTGTGGATTTACTGCCTTTGAAAACCTACTCTGAGTCTTCAACTGTGGTGGTGGTGTTAACGTGCGCTATGTACAGCAGCTCTGAGCCCTGCTCTATTCAGAGCCAACCTTATCATCTCAGACACACCTGACACTCCCCCCGCCCCGTTACCCCCAGTCACTGTGTCAATCCATCTCATCCAGGGTCTTCCTCTCTTGCACTGTCCCTCCACTCTCCCAAGCATGATGTCCCTCTCCAAGGACTGGTTCCTCAACACTGAAAAATCTCCTGAGATGGACAAAGGACATTTGCTCCCATTATTCCATTTGTCAGTACCCCGTTTTCCAGCCAGCTTAGGCTGCGACCCTCATCGCCTGTCGGTGCAGAAATTTTGGAGTTCCCAATTTTAGGTAGAAAAGGTGGTATCATTATCATCATCGTGAATAGAAATGCTCTTTAGATTGTGTGGAAACTTGACTCTGTCCTTGCTGTGTAAGTTACCCTAGGCCGTACAGTGTGGGCTAGGACACTTCAGAGAAAAGACGTTCCTCCTTTGCCCTGAAATACCTGCCTTTCTAGGTCTTAATAAAAACAAATGCAGGCTAGACAAGTAGTTTAGATTGTGCTTATGCCTCAAATGGGTAAACTGACGCCTGGTGGTTTATATTTTTTGTAAGAGTTTAAAAGACAGGAACATTTAAAGATAAAACAAAGTGACCTTTCTCCAAGCAAAGGGAAGATGAGTTTTCATTCACATCAGGCCATGTTCACCACCAGTTTGAATGTGTGCACAAATGTCTTCTTTCTTTATCCAAGAAACTGAAGAAAGCAGGTAGTTTAAGGTGTTTTTTATACAGAGAAAGCTCTGTTGGCCTAGTGGATAGAAAGTGATGCTACCAAGCCAAAGATGGATGATTTTAATCTGTGGCCCTCAGGTCTGCTTTTAATTGTTTTTGGTCAAACATTCTTCTTTTAAGTGGTACTGTACTGGTCTGTCCATTTGCTGTACAGAGGTAACTCGTGGTTGTGGTTAAGCTGAACACTGTGACACTGATGCGTAAAGTGCCATAGTGGTTACCCGTGGTGGACAGTGTTTGGTGGAGCTCCCCAATTAAAACAAGCTTGGAAGCAGGAGTGGCACCCGCTTCAGTAATATCTTGCCTCCAGAAACTCTAAGGACTTGGAGAAATGAAGAAAGTTATACAAGTGTTCAGGTCTTTTGTTTATAGAGTTGCTATGAGTCATCTACGACTTGATGGCACTTAACAACATCTGGTGTAACCAGAAGGTAAATACCAGGCTGATGGTTTTTGGTCTGTGTGCTGTAAGTGTAACAGGCACATAGGTGATGCTTAGAAAAATATTTCTTGAATTGAGTTGGCCAGAGGAACACTGTAAAACTGCCCTCATTTGGCACCATAGGAAATTCATTAGACAAGAAAGTTACTCCCTCACTGAGTTTACATCCTGCCCCCACACTTTCCCATCTACAGGAGAAATGAAAAACCAAGAGAAACAATAGCAGTACCGGAAAGGCTTCAGTTTCAATTCTTCCAGGGCTGTTCTCTGAAGAGATGAGGTGATACATATTCCAAAGGAAATATATGATTAGGTATTGTACGTAAATGATTATAAATATTCCAGAAGGAATATATGATTAGGTATTGTACGTATAACAACAATCTGGAACAAGGAGGGCATTCCAGGGTGGGCTGGGGAGTGGGGGGAGGAAGAAGGGAAGAAAATGTGCAACAAAAAAGAAAAATTAAAAAAAAGTTAACTGGGGGGGAGGATTTGTCAAAATCATAATAAAATTAAGGGTTGGGTTTTTTTAAAGAAATAAAATAGAATCTCAAGTCAACAAAAATTGGCACATTGCTTTTAGAAGGTCAACTGTGATTCCAACTGCTTCAGGGAAGCTGTCCTCAGCGTTACAGAATGCTTTTTGATATGCTTTCTGTCAACATGTGATTCCACAATCTCCATTGTGAGGGGACAGAAGAGGCATAAGTATCATTCATTTAATGCTCCTAGCAAATCATTCAAGACGCTAGGCTCTAGGAAGAAGAATGAGGCATTAGGATTGGAGGAAGACTCTTCAACAACCTGCATCACGTAAATGACATCTTACTTGCAGAAAGTGAAGAGGATTTGAAACACTTGCTGCAGAGGATCAAAGACTACACCCTTCCATAAGGGTTACATCTCAACATCAACAAGACAAAAATCCTCACCACTGGACCAAGGGGCAACATCATTGGGGAAATCTGAAAGAACAAAGATGTCAGTGTAAGGACTAAGGTGCACCTGATCCAAGCCATCACCTTTTCAATTGCTTCGTATGCATCTGAAAGTAGGACAACGAATTAGGATGACCAAATAAGAATTGATGCCTTTGAATTTTGGTACTGGTGCAAAGTACTGAATACCCTATGGACTGCCAGAAAAACAGATAAATCTGTCTTGAAGGAAAAGAAACCACGATGCTCCTTAGAGGTAAGGAGAGTGAAATTTTATCACACATACTTAGTGTATGTTGTCAAGAGGGACCAGTTTTTGGAAAAAAAGATATCATGATGGGAAAGGTCAGTAAAAAAAGGAAGCTTCCCAGTAAGATGGCTTGACCAGGGACTGTAACAATCTCAGAGATGATGTATGTAGTACAGGATAGGACAAGGCTCAGATCTGTGGTTCACAGGGTCACAATTAAGTGTTCTGGGATTCCCATTCTTCTCAATGTTAGCGACGATTTATTGGGTTCCACACAGTCAAATACCTTCGCATAGTCAATAAAACACAGATAGACATCCTCCTGGTAATCTCTGCCTTCAGCCAAGGAGCCATCTGACATCAGCAATGATATCCCTGGTGCCACAGCCTCTTCTAAAGCCAGCTTGAACTTCTGGCAGTTCTCTGTCAATGTACTGCTTCAACCATTTTTGAGATGCTCTTCAGTAATAATTTGCTTGCATGTGATACTGATGTTGTTGTTGTTGATGATTGCCTTCAAGTCAAGCACGACTCA